GAGAAACTTAACTCAAATATAGGAATGAGCAAATATCCAGGTGCCAGTCTAGTTTTGCTATAATATCAATGTCATAAAACAGAGTGATCATATTTCTTTTATAATAGTGCAACCACTAGGCTTCAAGCCTCATTTTCTAAGTTAATTGACCTTCAATGATCTTCAAAGACCTTAAGTATAGAGCAAATCATTTCAGTATTTGTGGTTTTCTATCCTCTTATGAGTTCAATTTGTGATGTCTCTGGTGTATTCAGCAAGTCTAACAATAAATACAGTGTAGGAGATTGACAGGTACTCCTCTTAGGTAGTAAACTTTCTTCACAGTGCCAGCTTGAAAAAAAAATTTACTGCAAATACATCAAGGGCAAGGAACATGAGTTCTTGCTTCTCCATTTTTGTCATCCTATACAACAAAACACTAAGGCAATATTGGTTTCAGACCAAATCCTAATATCAATAATAACAACAACCATAATAATGACTCATCTTCATTAAGACTCATATAGTCATCATACATCATCTCTCCTTCCCTTGGTCCTACTTTCATTTATGATTCCATTTTTCACCACTTCCCACAGTGTTACTAACGACCTAATATCTCTATTCAATATATATAGTAGATTCAACCATCTCACTGAGCTTCATTTTACCTTTACCTATCCTTTAGCATGCCAACTATGATTGTAGAGCATGTGGTTAGTTTAAGTTACACAAGAGCAACTAATGCTAAGGTTTGTCATTATTGCTTATACCATGTTATATTAGTACATTAGGAGCTCATTAATTGTACTAACTGGTGATATTCCAGTAGTAAACAAAATGACAATTTTGACTGTCACATCATTTGTTAGATAGTGGAATTTTACATTGCAGGTACTACTTTCATGATAGGTCAAAGAAAATGCATACTCAATATTCAGTACTGTGATCATTGAACTTATTGACATCATATTCACTTCTACCCCTAGACTGGCCATATGTTCAGTGATATTGTATAAAAATAATACCACATCTATCAATCTATTATCATATATACTCTGCTTACTGATATAAATGTCAGACAATGATATCTATAACCATCCAGGATGTAGCATTAAATTGTTCCCGACCTGTGAGATTGTGTGAAAGCACTAATACTACTACCACTCTGTCCCTATCACATTCCTGATTAGTGGGAACAAGCATGTTGTAGGCCAATTTAATGGATGTTATGCCTGCCTGCTCCTGGAGTATAAGATTATTTTCAAAAAGTAAAGCTATCCAGATGCAAATCAATATTGACCACAACAGATCAGTCAAAATCAAGGTCTTTGACACTCTTGAGTTTGGTAAGTTTTATGAAACATTGAGTAACCATCAAGTCACACTAACCTCCATATTGTAGCCTCCAAATAGGTTCTTGTTCAGGATAGTGTTGTTCATGATAGGATTAATATCATATGTCAGTCATAACATATCATCTTATGCTATTACATATTTACCTATTGATTAAGGCCCTGAGGATGTCTTGTCTAATGATTTAGCTCTAAATCCTTTGTCCTATCAGAATGTGTTGAGATGAGAATGAAGTGGGCCGCTTTTAGAGGCTACTGAGAGACCAGAAGAGATCAGACTAGAGTCCAAAGTAAGTTGCCGATGTATTGAATAGTATAGTGAAGTTGTACAGTACCTAAAGTCCAGAGTAAGTTACCAAAAAGGTAGGGAGCACTGAACTCTGGAATATGGGTGATATATGGTAAACAAGTATAAACAGATAAGCTATAATTCAAAGGTAAGTAATAACTTGACCTAGAGACAACCTAGGGAAATCAGGAAGTCATGTAAATAGGTGATAATAAACAATACTGTAAGTGAAATAACACAGTTAGACACATAAGAGACATAGAAATGTGTACTGTAGAGGTGAATGATCACATAACTAACAGAACATCAGTAGTGGAGGTGAATATGCATATACTAAAATTTTAAGGTCACCACTTAACATAGTATCTATCTCACATACACAGATCCTTCCTTTGATGTGGACTTTAGCACCATCTCATTGTTGCCTTCAGTAGACTACTTGATGTCTAATGAGGTTCTAGATTCTCTTTGCATGTGCCTTCACAGCCATTTGAAGGTCCTTATTTGCTACTTATGCAAGGTCACATTTTAATCTCTTGTACAGTCAATCTTAAATTTGACATGAGCATCTCATGTAACTACTAGATACCTTCAGCCACCATGGAGTTATTCTATGACTATTATTCATAGTTAAATGTTCATGAGAAGCCAGAGCATGTCAAGCTACCAAAAGCAGGTGGACCTCCTGTACAAATAATTCCATCCTCTATTGAAGGTTTTTCATGCACTGCATCTACTGACTGCATGTATGCTGTGAAGGATTTAGTAACTATTCAGTGCCATAGTAGAGAGAAGCACAGCACCACTGGCTTAAAGGAGATCCAGCATCAGTCCTGTTAGGTCTAACATATCTTTACCACTATTAGGAAACTTCTATTTTGAAGTTGTGCAGAATATTGTTCCATCTGTCAGACACAAAGTCAAATTGAGCCTATTGAAATTTTTGTTGTATAGTGAGGCAGTGTTGTGAGAAACATGAGCAGTTTATTGTATCACAATAATTCCATCATTGACTGTCATGGATGGGGAGTGTGGATATTCTGCCAAGGTATGGTTGTGAATCCATCACTCCAGACAACACTTATAATCAAGCTGACAACATTCTTACTGAATCCACTGATCACTCCACTGGTGTGGACCATGCCCACTACACCATCATCCAAGGAGTTATTTCTCAATTGTCTAATAACAGCATGTACAAATACAGATGGCTTGGAGATTAGTGGCATAGTGTTTTTGGTCTTGGCCCTTATCTACCTCTGGAGGCAATCAGAATCAGGTGTAAGAATATATCCAATGGGACAACACTCTAGGCTATTACAGATGTGGTCAAGAAGACTACACAAGAAAATATCAAACAATTTTTGAACACACACTATATTAACATCTTGAAGAACATAAATTATTTCTATAGCTGTAATCCAATAGTGAAAAAATGTGATAGATGATGCACCAGAAATTCCATCACCACTTCCAATCACCTAGATTAGAGGGTCATTTCACTTGAGCCATAATTTGGACTCAATATTCTATGACAAAAGCAAGGTAAGTACCACTATATATTGTATTGACAGCAAGATCTCATTAAGCTTTGCAGGTATCTGGTGAGACCCTGCTTCCTCATCAGGTCCCAGTGGGTACAATAACAATAGTGGTAAGTCCAACTTCAATTTCGTGTAATTTCAAAACTGATTGAATTCTTCAGTTAATATGTCTCCTATTGTTGTATCACCTACTGCAAGAAGTTAGTTATTCATACATTCATATCAAGAGCAAGTGCAATAAACATCTCACTTTATAATCATTTCTCTAGCACTGCTCACCTGGACAAGTACATGAAGATTTTGAAGGACAAGTGTCCATCACACTTTAATAATGGTCGTTGTTTTGTGCTTAGGCATTGATTTTAACTGATGCATGAATGCTTGAGTATAGAAAAAAGACATAAGTAAATGATCACCTACCATTGCTGCACAGCTGTTGACATGCAATGTGCGCTTTACCCATTCATCTTCTGTAAATCTCTTTTCTGTTCCTGCAGTGATTGCAGCATGGATGCTATAGAATCTAGACATAGTTAACATCTCAGTCTTGGTGGAACAGACTTAAATTAAGTACCTAGACACAGTTAACACTAGTATAAATGTGTGTCAGTGTCTAGTTATCATAGTGAGATAGTAAGACAAACATACCCTCAGTCTCAGTGGAATGGACTGAGGAAAGAGATGATATAGAGAAACAATTATATATATGAAATGGTGGTTTGAATTCCTGTCAGTTAGATACATTGTGTTGTTATGTGCATTCGTGGACCAACACTCCTCCTTGATATGACAAGTGATTCCTCCTCAAATGATTCACTGTAGGCCTAAACAAGCATGCAGGTACTTGTAGTCCTTTCTTGGCAAGGCTTTTGTGAAGATATTGGCGAGGTTGTCTTTAGAGCGGACATAGTGTAATTTTAGTTGTTGATGGGAGACACATTCTCAAATGGAGTGATGTGCCAAATTAATGTGTTTGTTGTGGGCATGGAAAAAGAGTCCTCGGTAAGAACAATAGTGCCATTATTGTCACATAGCAGTGGTGATGCTGATAGCTAGGGGAACTTGATTTTGCAAAGATGCCCTCAGACAGCTGAGTAATCACAACTACCATGCTTTAAACCGTACAGGGTTTCCGTGGTGATCATGTTTCAATTTAAATATAGGGCGCCCTTTCATAAGTTTTCACTCAGTAGGTATGGCAGAGCGAGGTATCAGCTTGTATACTCCAAGGTCACATAGGGAATTGAATTTATCATGTAGTGCTTCAGTCCATTTGGCAGCATGGCTGGAGTTCATAGCCTCGGTATAGGTAACAGGGTTGCTGGGATGTTTATTTTCAAAGTTGTCAGGAATAGCTGTGAAGACCTCAGTCAAATAAGCGAGTTCAGCCTCTAAATCAGTCAGGTCCTCATTAACAATTGGTGTAGTGAATGTGGATTAAGGGATAGTGGGTAGGCCATGAACACGATCAGCACTAGCCAATGAAGCCAGGGCATTGCATTAAGTGTCATTAGTATAAGGTATATCTTCTCTAGTGCAATGACATTCTGATGGGACAGGTATCCGAGAAGACTGATGTGGAAGGGATTCAGCAAGTAAAGTAGGAGGAGGGGCAGTAGGGGGAGGGTTGGTTACTGAAGTATAATATAATATAGCAGGTGGCATAAAGGGATTCTCAATGGTGACACCAGGATGTAGTGGAGTATCAGTAGAAGTGTGTGACTCAATAAATGAGACATGATATGAAATGAACACCTTATGTGACTCCTGGTGGTAGCACTGATAAGCCTTAGAGTTAAGGGAGTTAATAAGCACACATTCAACTGAACAATTCTAGATCTTTGGGTTGTGGTGGTTCTGGATTAGGATAAAAGTATGACATCCAATCCTGCGAAGATGAGTCAGGTCAGGCTTCTGATCATACCAACATTCATAGGGTGTATGACCAGCCTGGGAGAAGATAAGCGTGTGATTAGAAAGATAGCATGCAGTGAGGATGAATTCATCCCAATGGTTTGCAGGCATCTCACTAGCTGAGCACATGGTGTGTGCTTTACCCATCAAGGTACAATATAAGCACTTAATCCTACCTTTCTGTGCAGATGTATGTATATGGCACAGTGAACTGGTGTTGAGTATCATGCAAGAGAAGCCAGGCTCGCATGGCCTCAGACTTCAGCTCACCATTGTCTGAACAATATATCCCAACCTTCAAATTGGTCTCAAGCTCACAGGTCTTCTTCCAAGCTTGCAGGGCAGGGAAAGCATCTGATTTGGTGGGTAGGGGGATTGACCAGGCATTAGATGAAAAATCATCAATGATGTCCATTATGTATTTATTGCTAGTGGCCAACACAGTGTCTGGGTGCTCCATGAGATCTGCATGCACAACCCCCTAACCTTCTTGTAGCCCTACTACCAATGTGAACCTTTGAGATACTAGACTTGGTCTGTTTGTTAAGAATGCAAGCATCACAAATGAGAGGTTCAGTAGAGAGGATGATACAGGTGTCCTTGTCATAATAATACAACAAACTATTGGAATTGTAGGGTTAGTAGTGATGCATTCATGCTACAATGCCAGGCGTGCTAATATATGATGCATTATAGGGATCCTCGATGCATCCGTCATGCATCCTTTATGCATCCATAATGCATTCCTTTATGCATCCATAATGCATCCATTATGATAGGCAAGTAGTGCATCCTGCCACTGTTTGATGCATCCCCACCACGCCTTCACTGCATTACTATCCACTGTCACGGTGTGACCACTATTGATGCGCTCCCACCTCCCCACTGCTCCTGCATCGTACTTCTCCAGGCCCACTGCTTGAGCCTCCATGCAGCTTCCACCACCCTGCAGCTCCTGCATTGTGCTGCTGCGGGCCCACTGTTCCTGCCATCCTACTGCTCCAGGCCTGCTGTTCCTGCCACCCTGCTGCAGCACTGCTCCTGCCACATGCTCCTCCCTCATCATGCTCCTCCCTGCTGGTCCTGCCACCCTGCTACTCCGCCCTCCCTCCCTACTGCTCCTGCATCAGCTATGCCTGATACATGGCCTGATGATATAACAGATATCGGAAGAATGCCCACTGATGCACCAGACCGATGCATCAGCCACTGATGTGAATGTATATAAAGACTGGGCAACTCACCAGACTCTATAGACTGATTCCCTTCATCTTTGTCCACTGTGACTGGTGAAGTAGGTGTGCAGTTGTGTGCTACAAATAAATCTGGATCAGGGTGGGTCAGCTTTGAAATGTTATGTGGGCAGCACTTGTTCTGTGAAGTAAAGAGTTCCTTGATATGCATTAGCTGTGTATGCAGAAAGGTGTGATTGAAACTGTCAATCACTTCTTGGTATGCTGTGTATTCCTTTGTAGGTCTCAGTATCCTATTAGTTTTCTCAGATGATCTCCTCATGATGGGCTCCAGTTGTATGTAAGAAATGATAGCTAGATGAGAAGAGGTAAAAGAGGAAGAAAGAGTGAAACAATTCCTTTAAGTAAACTTGTGAGGGAATACTATGAAACTGGTAAGGGTCACTGAGAATGGAAGAAATGCAAAGGTTAGCACTAATGTGATACAAGCGTAAGTGAGCCACTGAAGGCACAATATGATACAAAGACATATGGCTGAGCTGAAAGGTTGATGTGAAAGCTGAAAGTGTAAAAGTGAAACAGCACAATGATAGATCGAAAAACATTTGAAGATATGTAGTTGGTAGAAATTCAAATATCACTGTCACTGTTAAAGACATGCCCACAGAAGTATGCCAAGAGTCTAGATTTCAAGTCAAGATGTTATTGTATGCAAATGGATGATAGATTCCATGAGGAAGGTAGATGATATATGAAAATCATAAGTACAGAGTATATATGAAAGCACATTGAAGTGCTATCCAGAGTCAAGTAGATGGCAGTAATATGTGAGTAGGGTTCATAATACGGATAATGAGAATATAAAAGAAATAGCTTTGGAAATATGATTAGTCTATTATAAATAAAATAAAATATGCACCAATGGACAAGTGGAGAACATGGATAGGTCAGGAGAAGAATGCACAATGGAGCTGAAGAAAAGCCAATGTGCATGTGCAAGCTGCAGCCATTGGCTAATAATGAAATGATTATACACCGTGCTAGTGATAGTGTATGTTATGTGAGGATCTAAGGGATGCTGCAAAAATAGCCTCTACAAGGCCACAAGGACTCTAAGTTCTACAGCAGGTACTATTTAGGACAGGGAAGGCTCATGATGGCTACTTTACTAACTAGAAGATAAGTGTCTATGTCACAAAGGCAATAAATATCCTGGAGAAAGATTATCCTGATGAGGATCATGTTCTCATTTTTGACAATGTAAGCACACACCTGAAGAGGACAGATGATACCTTGTCTGCTTATACAATACCCAAATGGCCATCACCTATATGAGGGGTCTCTGTCTTAATAAACAGTCCTGATAGGAAGCCCCTCAAGGGGAAAATTTGCATGAGAGATAGACAGCTCCTAAATGGAAATCTGTAGTGCCTTTATTTTCCTAAGGGTCTGAACGACAAAGCTGGATAGTTCAAAGGGATGTTATAGATTTTTGTCGAGCATGAGTATACAGACAGACACACCTAATCTCAAAGCTCAATGCAAGAATTTTAAATGTCCAGGAAATAGGAAAGACAACTGTTGCTGCTGTTGGCTGATGTACAGCCAGCCTAATTTTGCTAATGTGAAGTTAGTATTTGAAGTCTTGTATACAGCACAAGGCTTCAATATGATTTTCTTACTAAAATTCCATTATGAGCTCAATTTCATTGAGCTGTGCTGGAGTTTTGCAAAGCAGATATACTGCATAAGTGATAGTTCTTTGTTGGCTGCTGCACTTAAGAAGAACATTATTGACTCACTAGGTGCAGTACCAATGTTGACAATATAGTAGTATGACTCATAGTGATGACTTATTAATCAGACTTCTGATGAGAATTATAGATTTTCCATTAGATCAGCTAGATTTATTGATACTTACAAAAAAGAACTCAATGAAACACAAGCAGCATGAGCAGTATAGCACTCAGATTGGCACTAGGCACATATCCTGCCAATCTCACTGATACCTCACATTTGCATTCCTCAACACTCCTTAAACCTTCTGAAAGCTCCATATGTTCATTCAAGTCATCCGAAGGTTGTCCATCTATTTCAAAGGTCTGTTCTCACTTGTGATCTACCACACAATGTCCTATCCATGTCCATTTAACTTCACTGGTGCATTTTTTACTTTGTTCATTTATTATTGAATATGTCATAGAAACAGTTATGTTGGCAGCCCATTTGGAGCCTTGTTTATTTGAATAGTACATATAGCAGCATGCCTTGCACATTATTACATGCATATCTGTGTAGCAGCTCACCTCAAATCTTATTACATTTTGGATAGATTGATACTGCTCTCACCTGTGCGGTTCTGGACTTTTACACTGTAGGATATAATCTGGCTCACTAGCTAACTCACACTTCATTTCACTTTCCTTGCTATGAGTCATAGTTAGTAGAGTCACTTTCAGATAGTTGTACTTTGTGCAATTGATCCTCTTGTTCATTTGGAAAGATTGTTTAGCTTGACTGCTGCCATTTCGCATCTCACTGTCTTAGAGTTCTTTTGATAAACTTTGCATAGTAGTACTTCAGTATTCTCACAAGTCTTATACTTTGACATACTTTAACATACCCACCATATTCTGTCTTAGAAACCTTGCCGATTAGTTGCAAGCTCTTTGGAATCTCTGTGCATCATTGGATCATCATTTCTTAATTTTGGACCACCTTCACTTGCATCAAACAAGTACTTCAGCACTTCAGACACATTCTTGGAACTTCAAATGCACCTTGGGTGACTTTTCCTTCTCTTAACCTTTGATTTTAACAGAGATCCCTTGCATTTATATTCAAGAGATGGTTCTATAGGCAGTCTCTTTAGGTCAAATCATACTTGCACCTCTGAGTTCTAAGGTAACAACTTTTGTAGTGCCCACATAGAATCAACTCTTCACAGTGGTAAAGAAGTATTGTAGACATTGTATACTTCCCACCTTAATCATGAAGGAATTTGATGAGTGCTAACCCCTTGGCAACATGCTTATACAACAAGCAATACATTATTTTGCAAATACTTATATATTTGACTAACTAACTATTTACACTGGCAGTACATACTTTATGATACATACAGTAATACTTTTTTCATTTATTCTTTATGTTCATGCACATTCAGCATCACTCAGCATATACTTTTAGGCCTAGGGAGGAATTCCCTAGGCTGAAGCTCCGCTCCTTTGATCCTCCATCCCTCCGAGTTTCTGGAAGTTCCTCTGGAACTTTCCCATGGTCCTCCAGACCTATTCTGCTTTGGACTTTATCCCTGCAGCCTTTTCTCTGTTTGCTTCTATTCAGGATTTGTATTTGTCCTAAGTAGCTTTTACACATATCTTTGTCAAGTGGATGAAACTTCATTGTAATTTCCAGAAGTTCCTTCAGAAGTTTCTTGCACTTAGCCGGATGATCCTTTCAAAGTTTCCCATGCTTATTCAGAAGTTCTTCAGACTTCTTTGGACCTTCTTTGAACTTCAGTCTGAAATTAAGGACACATACTCAGATAAAGAGCACAGCACATAAGCTGAAGCCAAGCCCCTCAGAATCAGTCCTATCCTTTGTGCATGGTCTTAACAGGCCCAAACAGTAATACATGTGCAAGGATTGACATGCTATCTAGATAGATGTGTGAAGGAACCAATTTCTTTCAAAGTAGATTTGGCAGAACAAATGTTGAAGCTGGACAAAATAGTACCTACACAGACCAAAATCAAGGAATTAGACAAGAAGATAGATGAATACCAACAGAAAGACTCACTTACAAAACAACATATGTTTAGCACGATCTTAGATCAGCTATTGCTGTATATCCAGTACCTTGGCAACACTTCAATGATATGATCTGAAATTTGGACCATATATAAGGGAAAGATAGATCTAGTACAGATAGATCTACACCAAAAGTTACAAGAATTAAGATATGAGGAAGAAGGTGATGTAAAGACTCACTTTGGAGAAATATTTCACATCCACAATTCCTGCTAGAATCTT